GAATTCTGTGTAGTCAGGTAAATATATCGAGGTCCGAGGCCTGTTTGATCAAGATAACCTTATGTTCGTCTTCTTTCTGACATTGCACCTTTTCAGCGGCAAAATAGGTATATTTGATGTTCCCCGCTGCTTTCGTCTGTCGGGCAAGCCAGTATAAGTGACTGTTCGTGTGAGTCATCTCCTCCCCCAGATATATCCAGTGGCAGTCATTCTCCTGCCAACCGATATCCCGCGTTGAGAAATCTCTCTTGACTATTCTTTTTGATATTAAATCGTCTCTGACTTATTGCCTGACAATCGCTTTACGCCCGACTTATCGCCTTTCCTGCTTCTGCGGCGATGCACCATATCTAGGTCTTCTAAGCCTAACTTCCAGGATGGCTCCTATACTGGTCACCAAAGCGGCGGGCGTTTCTCCAACTCGTTCCGGTATTCCTCGGATCTCCAGTGATCTGGATAATAGGCTCTGCTCTGCATTATTCAATACAAAGTTCATTTTGTTTTTTAATAAATTTTCCTTCATCTTGTATTTCACCTGCGAAACTCAGTTCGGAGTCAATAGCACATGCCTTCGCATTCCACAGCGTACCAAAAACTGCATTTTCTTTTCTTTAAATAGGTGTTTTTTGTCACTTTTTTCAACCATCTAAGGGTGGTGGCACCCTCTGGCAGAATTCGCCGGTCACGTTAATATATTTTTTTTAAATATTACATTAGGAAATCCGTGCATGAGAATGAATATTCTTTACATTTCTCTTTTCTTTAAACAGGTATTTTGTTCCACTATCAAAGGGAGAGTGCGCTCCCTGGCAGAATTCGCTAGTGCTGGTCACTATATATTTTTTTCAATAATATTTTTTTTTTATATTACATTAGGAAATTTGTGTATGAGGATGAATTTTCCCTACATTTCTCTTTTCTTTAAATAGGTTCTTTTTATTACTTTTTTCGGATTTTTTCCACCGTCCAAGGGAGAATGCGCCCCTGGCAGAATTAGCTAGTGCTGGTTACGATAATAATTGTTTTTTAATAATAAATTCATCGTCTATAAGGATAAGTTTTCCCTATATCTCTCTTTTCTTTAAATAGCTACTTTTTGGATAAAAATGTCTAGCGTCCAGAGGTGAGGGGCGCTGGATACGCTAGTGATCTGAACAACATATAATGAATAGTTGCCGGGTCGTATAATAAAATTCATATATCACTAATAAAAATATAAGTTTCATTGTTTATTTCCTTTAATTTGTTCGGAGGTTGGGCCATATCATAAAAAAAAAATAGGAAATTTTAATAATGAATACTTATTTTTTCTGCACAAAGAATGATGGAAAGCACAAAGATGTATGTTCTTGTTGGTAACCGTAACTAATTTTTAGTATTTAGCATCAAAATGAGAAAAACGCGAAATTGAACCAAAAAATTAGAAAAATACGTTAAGGAAACGAGGAAAGAATTAACCAAATCTCGGAAAGGAAAACAAGGACCAGTATACCTAACGAATATATCGTAGACAGATGAACAGAAATTTCAAGGAGATGTTAAGACGGGGTCAAATGCTGGGGCAATTTGGATGATATTAAGGGGGCGATGAATGACGATATGGTGAAGACCATATTATTTTCGATGGCTACTCAAGTTCCACATCGATACTATCTTCACTTTGGAACAAGTTATAGAGAGGTCCATCGAGAAAGGGAAGTAGTTTTCCTTCTGTTTAGTGAATTTGGAAATGATCTTTGAAATAATCAGAAAGCAAGAGATAAAAGGAGCTTTTCTGAAAGGCAAGGAGATATTTCCACAATCCAAAGTTTGAGGCACTAAGCAGATAGAGAGCTATTTCCCTGTATCGATGGACTTATCTGCCTATAACTATAACTGCCTTAAAGTGAAGACAGTCTCAATTTGCAGCTTCTGTTCCAATGTGCAACTTAAATTTGTCAATCCATATCGCTTTGGTAATCGACAATATTTCTTATTCTAGCTTCTACGATTCTTGAGTAGAGTTTCTTGGTACACTAAACAGGAATGAGACTAGATAGGTATTACATTTCCTGGTATCTTGCTTGTAAAGGGACAAAACTACATTAGATGAAGGCAAGGCAAATAGCTCATGAGTTCGTAATAGGCAACATTCAAATTATTGGCAACATTCTACTTATTTATGCAGTGGACTGCATTTTAATGAATTAGTAGTTTATACGAATTGTGCAAAAACAGCTTACCATTTTTATGCTGGCTTAAGACATCTCTTTGTTACCTGAGGACCCTCAAGTCTGGTAGTCTTGCCTCAGTGCTGGAATGCGTTGAGTGTAACGTGAGGTGGTACGGATTAAATTTTATCTTTTAGATCTTCGGATCTGCCCCCACCACTCGCCGTAATGAGAGAATAGAGAAATATCTTTGCCCAAACAATAACAATTAAAAGAACATACAGCTACGCCCTTTCCATCATTATTTCTACAGAGAGAATAAAACATTCAATATTAAAGTTTCCTATTTTTTTATGATATGGTCCAATCTCCGAACAAAATAAAGGAAACAAACAAATGAAATTAATATTTTTATTAGTGATATATGAGTTTTATTAAACGACCCGGTAACTATTGATTATATATAGTTCATATTAAGTCTATATTTTAGTTCATAAAATGGGAATTAATATGACTTATTTGCGGGAAAGTATATACCATTTAACTTACTCTAAGAATCAGTAAATGTACAAAACAAAATGTTAAATTGCAAACGTTGAATAAAAATTCAAGATATTCAGCAAAGTATTTTTGAATTAAGTTGTATTATTATTTTTGATCATCTTTACAATATTTAAACAAACAAAAAAAAAAATAATAATTTTATTGGACAACTAAATTATTGCATTAATATTTTTCCTTATACAATCATTATAATGTATTATAAACATTATTATAGTACTATAACTATGCCGTTTATGAATACTGAATGATGTGGCAGAGACAAGTAGGCACTAACGCCAGTACAGCTTTTCCGACGATTAAGTGATTTTTTTACAAAACTGCTTCAAATATTTTTAAAAGTATGTTATCAATATGTTACAAGTTATATTATCAGTATTTAAGAAAGAGAAATATATTCTCCAGATGTTTTATTTTAGGACGTGTTCCGTTATTGGTAGCCGTTTAATAACAAACAACGCTTGATTTTCAACTTGAAATCAGACCAATACACTCCATTGGCACCTGCTTTTCTTCTCTCTAAAATATACGGTTAGCTACGCTTATTATGATGATGCTTCAAAAACAACAGCTTTTATTTAATGACCTTTAATTATAAACACTTGGAGAAAAAAATATAAAAGCATTCAATAACCTGCTATTACGTTTGAAGAATTTATTTTTTTTAAAATGTTTTTCTCAAAAAAGGAGATGATTTAAATTGCAAATAAATGATCCACAGATATATCATAAAAATATGTATGTTCTGCAATGATTTCCTGGTTATCTCAACAGATATGTTTCCAAAATTTGTTGATATTTTTATTTAAGACATTAAACTGCCAATGGTTGGAATTCCGTAATGAGTAAATATGACGTTGGTTAAGATAGAACATTCATGCTGACATTTTTTTTAACTACTCATATTAATACACAATACTGTGCGATATAATCATGACCATTATAATTATTCATGAACGGTTCAAGACTTTAAAATATTTATAAAATTAATTTTCATGAAGTAATTTATAACCATAAAGTTATATACCATGTTGATAGAGACATACATAGCCGAATTCCAAGAAATCTTGGTGGGGGGAAGTGAATGCATGACGTCGGCATTAGGTGTTCAACTAAACGCAGTGCTAACAACGCTAATTGTTTATTTTTCACATTTTGAAATAATTCACAATTAATAATATTTAACTAAATAATAAGTTAATGCAACAGCCTAAGGGTCCAAAGTTTATTCCCAGGGATGGGTAAAACAAAGATTTATATTATTTTTAATATCTTTTTAAACGATGTCGCACTCATATGACCTAAAGGTTTTTCTATTTAAGGTGAGATTGAAATTGAATTGTGAAATGCACCCAAATTAAAAAAAATATATTGCAATACATAAAATAAAAATAGCGATAACAAGTCATTCAGTATCAACTTATTTACAGATAAAAAGAGAAATATTTCCACTTCCTTGGTCGAATATCCGAAATGCTCAGGCGTTATTTGGAATCCACACTCAAAAAATTTATAGTCAAATCAAAGCACCCGGATTTTTTTTTCCTGAAATTTTATCGAAAACTCTTGCAATCGTATTTCCATATCACCTCCGTTCAACTCAAAATTGTTGAAGGGAAGAATGGTTGAGGTGATTTTAGTCGAAATAAAAAAATAATAAATTATTCTATTTTTATTTTTGCCAATGTTTCGGCCCAAAGTTCAGGCCTTTATCAAGGAGACGAAGAGGCGTCGCTAGACCACAATAAATATAATTATTTATTTTTATTATTTTTACTTATATATATTTTATTTTTTTATTTATTTATTTTTTTGACTGATCATTGACCCCAATCATTCTTCTCTTCAATTAAAGTATAATTTATGTAATAGTTGATATAACCGAATAAATCTTCCCAAAACTATTTCATATGGTGTTTGTAGCAATATCAACAACAATTTAATAATTTTAACAAAAGAGAAAATATTTTCTTTACTATAAATCGATCAACGATGAAAGTTTCTATATAAACCTTAAAACCTAAAAAATCATGTTAATGCAAAAAAAAATCAACATTAAATATCCAATTAGAAAATTAAACAATCCCTAAAAAGAAATAAAAGACTGTTGATGTTTTTCGCAATCGCACAGAAAGGAGGGTTAAAGCTAGACAGTAGGGAGAGGAGGTGGGGCTTCGTGCTGTCACGGCGTCACCAGGTCAGCCAGCCAATAGGAACTCGCAGAGCTGACGTCATTCTAAATATAGACACATGGTGAGTCACTGGATAAAAAGCTGGGTGCTCTCTCTGCTCAGCCAATATTCAGCTGACCTATCTTGCCTCGGTTTCTTGGTGTAGTTAGTTGCCTTTTTACGCGTTAATGCTCATATTGTAATATGTTTTTCTGATGGTTTTATTGTGCTATATTGTGTTATTTCTGTGTTAACATTGTTTCAAACTGTGCATATAGGTAAAAAACAAATGGTTCGTAACTCAAGTGTCCCCAAAATGGAACCAACGTTCTACGATGAACCAAATTTTGCACCGCGAGATTTGAATACACTCAAACGTACTATGACTTTGGATTTAAATAATCGAGGGGCCAAAAAACTAAAACTTGTTGAAAATCAATCTCCTGCTATTTTGTCTTCACCTGATCTGATAATGTTGAAACTTGCTTCTCCTGAACTTGAAAAAATGATAATTGATCAGCAGAATGGTATGGTAACAACCACACCCACTCCTACAACCATATTTTTTCCCACCAGAAATGTGACAGAAGAACAAGAAAGTTATGCCCGAGGATTTATGGATGCCCTCAATGAATTGCACAACAGTGATTCTTCCCAAGGCGGTAACCAGCAGGACACCTCTCGCAGTACTTATGCATCCCTTGATTCCCAGTATCCTACTAATTATGGTTTTGGTATGTCCCCAGATAACTCAGTTGTTATAAAGGATGAACCTCAAACTGTTCCTAACTTAAACTCTCCTCCTATGTCTCCAATTGACATGGAAAGTCAAGAAAGAATAAAACTAGAGCGGAAGAGACAAAGGAACCGAGTAGCAGCATCGAAATGCCGAAGGAGAAAATTAGAACGGATAGCACTTCTAGAAGAAAAGGTTAAAGTACTGAAAGGTGAAAATGCTGAACTTTCAATAGTAGTAAACAGACTTAAAGAACAAGTTTATCATTTAAAACAACAAGTGATGGAGCATGCTAAAAGTGGTTGTCATATTTCAGTGACAATTGCATCTGCTGTATAAAATTGGCTCAATTACACTGATTCAGTAGGTAATATACATATGGATTAAGTTTTTTTATAATTAATTAGATTAATCTATTACTTATAAATTGCGTTTCTGTGTACCTACATTTCGTGTCAAAACTATCAATTTGTAAGCCATTTATCATTATTGTTCAGTTACCATTATACTTGATTGTTTAAAAAAAGTATCCTGTTAATAGCCAGATTTCTTTTATTATATATTGAACTGTTTAGTTTCAATGTAAATATGTATGATTTTAAATAAATTTCCATCTCAATTCACTACCTAAGTGATCAATTGTGTAGGAAACTAAAAATTTTATGGTTAGGTTTATAATTGCATATGATCTCTAAGTTAAATGATTTAAATTATTATGATCACTTTAAATATTTAAGACAGAATACACCCAAAGTTGAATGTTTTTATTTCTTTTTTTTATCAGTACAAAATATTTTATATATATATATATGTATATGTGTGTGTGTGTGTGTGTATATATATATATATTTATATATTTGTTAGTATTTTGAATCCTTACATATACTGTGAGATAATTAAATTAGTCCATTAATGTATATTTGGTATTATGTTGATTGTTTTTAAATATTTATTAATTTAATTCTATTGTTTTAATTTCATATTATTTTAAAGTGTTTCTGAGGAATGTATAAGTATACATTTGTGTATGATAATTTTATATATATATATATATATATATATATTGCCCATACTGGAATCTGGTTGTATGGAATAAATAATTCACAGTCCATTCATTATATAGCATATTATTTTAATTAGTATTTATTGTAAAGCTATACGAATGGTATTAATTACTATTTTTCACTTCCATTTTTTAGTATTCTATTTTAATAAGTATGTATATTAACATCATTAAATTACTAGAAAAATTGTATTTTCAATTAAATCTTGAACAATGCTTTATTTGTGAAATTCTTATATAATTGCAAAATCAAGTTAATTTACATTACTTTTAACTGTGAATAAACAATCATAATATCTAGTCTTATTTTATAAATTCTTTCGCTAACTTTTCAAAGCTCCACATCTTGAAATTATCATCAAAATCAACAACTATATAGTGATAAATTTCTAAAAACATATGAAATGTAATCAAATTAAATATGGGTTTTTGCCTATTTTTAGTTACCACATGAACTTAATTACCCTGTAATTCAGTTAGAGAATACACATTCCTGTTTTGCTTATTTTATATTAGTATTTATCTTAAAGTATTTAATTAAAATTATTTTATTATGGATTTTATTTAATGGAAAGCATTATTTTTTTTCTTGGTAACTTTAGCTTTACATGTTTGAATATGCTTACATTGTTATCGGATCAGGAGATTTCTTGTATTGTAAAAATTTGTATTATAACCGTGTTTATATATAATTATTTTTATGAATTATATTTAATTGTGCTTTCAAAGTAGTGTTCAATTTGTAAGTTATATTTAATTCTATCATGGCAAACCTAAAGCGGAGGATTTAGTTTTTGAATTAAGCCAAGTTTTAAGATTGGTATGTTTTAATTTATTCTTAACTTTTAATTTTTATCTCTGGAACTAAAGTCTATGGTTCTTCTGATACCATTTGTGCTGTGTATATTTACCCAAATATTTAATTGTTTGATTTTGTATATTTTTCTGTGATTAGCTATATTTTAGACAATAATAAGTGGTATCATTGTAATTAACAGTCATTTTAATTTGACCTTTTTTTATTATGTATATATTATATTTTTGACAATTGTACTTTTTAGAAATCCAATAAATAGGTGAATTAGTATCTATGGCGGGAATGTGCAAGTGAAGCCAATATATTTTGTTCATTTCACACAGTTTCTGATTGATTTATACTACAGTCCATGTATCGGAAAAAAATAATTAATTGATTGAATCAAGTGTATTTGTTTTAAGTGATTTTAGCCTAAGATTCATAAACTAATATTTTTGTGTAAGTTAGTCGTGATATTTTAAACATATTTAATAACCTGTAAGAATGCTTCTCATGCCTTTCGAGCTCTATATTTGTGATTCAACAGCCATAATAATACACGTGCCTTTCTTAAAAATATTCTGGTTTTATAAAATTAACAGTCTAAGTTTAAGATCACCAGATTCTGGTCGATCAATTTATATTTTTATAATCCATTTATACCGATTTATAGAAAATATGGAATAGATTATAAATATATTTACATACATAAAAGTGTAATGTGATAAGAAATAAATAATATTGTATTTTTTAGTTTGTATAATTTTTTAAAAATAATTATTTCTATTTTTAGAAATAAATTTATAATTAAAAAAAATTCTTTTTTGTCTCCCACCAACTACTGTTGCTTATTTTTAAATTCTTAAAATATGCCAAAAAAAGGTTGAATGTGGTTATTTTTTATTTAAATGGTAAAAAGCAATCAAACTTCTTATGTTTTGTAAAAATACTTCAGATGATTTTTAGCTAACCTCAAGAAGTACAATCTGGTGATTTATATTAGAAAATTTAAAAAGCACTTGCTATTCAACTTTTTTCTTTATGTTATTTTTACAAAGTTAATAATTCTGTCTATTAGAAAAGCGAATGATTATCATGAATAATTAATTAAAAACAGAGGCTATCTATGAAACTGTCATAGCTACTTAATTAAACTTGCCCTTTCCTCATTTCTGGCATCTTGGAAGGATTATACTCTTTTTTTTTTTTTTTTTTTTTAACTCTAGCTTGAAATAAATAAAACAAATTTATGCATAGTTGTATGTGTCATTTATGATAATTATGTCCAGAATGAATTACTGAAACAGTAAAATTTCAGTTTTATTAGTTAAATCTGTGGTTTACAATCCAGTCATGATGAAAGACCTGTCGAAAACTTTTAGGGCTGTTTAACCAGCAAACCATTTATTCAATCCTTGCCTTATTTATAGGAGGTTTTGTGGATTCCACGTTTAACCATTTTAGTATTAAAGTCCCATCCATCACCCAAGATTCTTAGAAGCTAATTATCTCCTTGAAACAATCTATAGAATATTTATTCACTTTTCTGTGGTTGATATTTTTTGTTAAATAATAGATTTATTTTTATTTTGTGTTCATTATTTATTAGCAGTAGCCAATACGTGCCGTATCCAAGAGAACCGAGTGTTGAGCCTCTTTCAGCACTTCAAGAGGTAATTTTAATCCCATCGTGCCTGCTACTGTTGTTTTTGGTATCAATCCATTTGAGGATATTATAATTGGGGTGGTGGTGACGTTCCTCAAATGAAATAATTCCTTCAATTCGATTGCCAGTTCCTGGTATTTTCTCAGTTTTTCTCCAACAGTGGAGCTTATATTATTATCTGATGAGAGAAGGAATTAGTCGAGGGTGCGGTCAAAAAAATAAAAAAATTAAAATATATAAATAATTTTAATTTTTGCCGACGTTTCGACCCACTTTGCAGGTCGTCTTCAGGGCGTTGGATGTGGCACTGCGGGAGGCGGTTGAAACACTGGCAGTGTCATATTATTATCGTTGGGGATCCCGTCATCAATAAGCTCTGCTCTTTTCTCTCTCATGTCTATCGGAAGGATGTTTGGTTTATTGTGACGCACTAGCGGATCCAGGATTTAATTTTTGGGGGGGGGGCTTCAGCCCGAAACCTTTTTTTTCATAAAAATAACGATAATTCCTTTGAAAAAACATAAAGAAACTAACTACCTATATGAGATGGTGTTTAATTTATTCCTTAAGTACTTTTAAATGTAATTACACGAACAATAATACTTTAAGAGGTATTTTTAAAATGTTTTTCCCCATAAAACATGGTTATATTTTTCCATTTTGGGGGGGATTCAGCCCGAAAGCCCCCCCGTAGATCCGCTCGTGTTGTGACGCACAGTATGGTCAGTTATAATCGATTCATCCCAGTAGAGCTTGAGACTACCTTTTTGGAGGAGTTTATTTGGGTGGTACTTATAATATGGAGTTTTGTCATCTAACAAGTTGAACTTCACCGCCAGAGCCTGATGAAAAATTCTAGCCACATTGTTATGCCTCTGGAAATACTCGGTGCCAGCTAACAATCGACACCCACCTGTGATATGTTGGATTGATTCCAGAGTCGCTGAGCATAATCGACATTTATACGTAGTTGTTGCGTCTTTAAGAACATGCCTTCTATATGATCTAGTAGCAGTGACTTGGTCTTGGATGGCGAGCAGAAATCCTTCTGTCTCGGAGAATATCTTTCCAGCTTTCAGCCATTCAATGGATATTTCCTTGTCAATCGAGCTATCATTTAATTTCCTTAGAATCTTCCATGCATAGATTTATTTTTCCATTCTGTCAAGCGTTCGTTTTCTGACTCAGGTTAAGTGCGGTTAGACTATAATCCAATCTTGAGATTGCGAGGTAAACCTCAGTTGCTTTTGTAAGAAAACATCGGCGTAGGGCCGCTTCCTGCTTGCGGCAAGCTTCTTCGATATTTAGCAAACCACGTCCTCCTTCTTTCCTAGGCAAATACAGACGAGCTTTGGATGATATTGGACGGTGGGCCCGTTCTTGCGTGAGAGTTGTTCGCACAAGGCGGTCGATCTCCTGTAGGCTGGTGTTTGACCAGTGCAATATGCTGAGACTATAACCGAGAGCAGGTATTGCCCAGGTGTTAATAGCCTTGATTTTTTGTTTCCCGGTTAGCTGGGTTTTGAGCACTTTCCGCAATCTAATTTTGAACATTGTCAGAAGGTCTTGTTGCATGTCTTTTCTTGCAATTTTAAGATGTTGCTGCATTCCCAGATATTTATATAACCTATTGTCTTCAAGCTCCCTGATGTACTCTTTTTCCTTGATTAGAATATTCTGCATTCTATACACTTTTCCTTTGGTTACATGGTGCACCGCACATTTATCCAGACCACTTATTATTATTATTTTTATTTTATTTGTCAACACTTTTACAAAAGGTTTTTTTTTTTTTTGTTTACTTGAGAGGGGGAGAATCAACTCCAACCACCTCAGATATGTTCAATTTTAATTTCTATTGAATGTTGAGAAAGCTTCTTACAATTCTGGCAGTATTCTGGATATCTTCTCAATATACTCAATACCCACGCTCCTCTGAAAACCTCCACTTTCCGTCATCGTCCTGCTCCTTGGATGTGTCAGGAAATTAAGGATCTGCAGAAGAGACGCGACGCTGCACGCAGACGCTTCAGACGGACTAGGCTTGCAGATGATTATCAAATATTCAGAGTGCTTCGTAACACGACACAGACAAGGATCCGACAAGCGAAAGCGAACTACTTTCACGAAGCCCTTTCCTCAGCTCCTGATATCAAATCATAATGGCTTCTACTTCGTAAGCTTTCCCTCTGTGAACCTTCTAGATCCCCTTCCTCAGTTTTCCCAATATCACCTGATGACCTAAACTCCCACTTTATATCGGTTTCCACCTCTTCTTTACCATCCCCTTCCGGCTTTTCTCCAGAGGTACCTTTTAACGACAATAATTTTTATTTTTCCGACATTTCTCCCACAGACCTTATTACCGTTATAATGAAATCCCGTTCCAATTCCGTAG